CCCCGCCTCACCCCGCCACGCCCCGCCCCGACTCGTCCTTACTTGCGCGATAACTCGCGATAACAACCGCACCAAAGGCAGCCCGGCCGGCGGGCAGGCGGCCGACGAGGCCCTGTAGCACGTAGTGACCTTTAGAAGGTACAAATGTGATGGTCCCAGCAGTAGACCGGGGACCCCCAAACTCTGGGCGCGGCTCTCTTCAGGTCGCCGTTGCTGTCTAACCGCGCGGCACACCCACCACAGACTTCATTGAATTTTATAAAATTTTTACGCCGGGGTTCGCCCTGTAAATTTTGCGAAGGTCGACCTTTTGTGTTATGAAAGCTTTTCCTCGAGATATGAAGAATCTCTGTGATTACATGACGAGAAATGTTTTCGGCAGCAGCCGAAACTAGCGGGCAGTAGCTAATGCTCCAGGCCGCAGGCCGCAACTTAGCAACTTTTCAAATCTTTGAATCGCCTTGTCGGCGTTTGAGAGAAGGAAGATCACAAAAAAAATTAGCCGATGAAAAAATAATTGATTATTTGATGATTTTCACAGGTTTGCCCCCTCAAGAAGTCACGGGATACGCGGCAAGGACCTGCAAACCGCTTCTACCCTAACTGACCGCAATGTTGTGATCAGTCCGCAGAAACTACTAACAGGTGAGTAGTAGCAACATGGCCTTCCCCCCAAATCATAACTAGGTTGCCCTTTTGTCTTCTCCGTGTCACGTCCTGCGCACTCTGCCTTGCTGGGCGATGCGAGTCCTTCCCTGCGCGCGTTAGTTTTAGTTGTTGCAAGCTGTAGCAATAACTTGTCACTTTTCTTGCCACGCTCGGACTCCGTTCCCGGCTGCCCAGCTCACTGTTTCCGCCCCAGCTCCACCTCCAGCCACCACCCGCCGACGAGCGCCGCAGGATAGACTCTTGCTTGGTGAGTCCACTTGACTGTCAGGAGACGACCTGCCGCCGTGCGGGTGGGGGGCCCGTCCTCGGCGCCGCGAGCCCGCGCCTACGGCCACTGGCCTCTGATTGTCGCTCGACTGAGACACGTGGCCGCCAGCCTGATATTGCAGTGAGGAGAACTGTCCGATGACTCGTCTGTTCAGCTTGCGCTTTGCACAGGGGTTCTTTGTATATGTTTTCTGATTAACTTGGCTATGCTAACTTGCGATAGAAGTCGAAATGAGGAGGCCGTTACGCCGTTCTGTGGTGTCCCGAGCCGGCTTGCTTGCTACAAGACAAAAACCATCTCGAAATCCATTTTGTTTCTACGTAAATTTAACTGGCATTTTCACGTATCCGCATAGTTCCATGTGCGTCTGTCTGAATTTCGACTGTTCTCTCGTGGACTTTCTAGTTTCCCTGCGGGCTCAGTATGTTTCCGCCGTCCTAACTTACTTGGTGTTTGCAAATTTAAAGATGTGTAATTGATGAAAAGCGCCCCCCTGCAAAGTTTGAGAGATGAGTCGTTGAGGGCACTATCCTTCGGCAAAATAAAGTCAAACCAACCACGCCACCGAGTACTGGTCAAACTTCCGGTTCCGCCGTGCGTCGTGGGGCGGCTCCGGTCTCTTTCAGCTTCCAAGCCGACACGCGCCCCAACCCAGCGCTCGCCTCGACTGACGGGC